CACCAGCGGGTGGTTTTCAGCAGAGGCAGCCCTTCCAGGCCAGACAGGGGCCAGTTCCACAGCAGCAGCCTTACCAGCCCAGGCAAGGGCAAGCATTTCCGCAGCCTCAACGTCAATATGCCGAGCCAGCAGCAGCTCCAGCTCCAGATAATCAGATGACCGAGCTGAAAAACATTTTAGAGACATTCATGACTACCAGCCAGACCAATTTCGCCAAGATAGACCAAAGCATCGCCTCGTTGGAGGCGGGTCAGAGGAACCAAGGCGCCATACTGCAGGACCTCCAACATCAAATTAGAGGAATAGCCCGCCAGAACAATACCAGGGCACCGGGAACTCTGCCTTCCACCACCATTCCTAATCCTCGCGAGCCTCACCAACAGCTGGATGCCATTTTTACCCAGAGTGGTAAGTCCATATCTGCTGCTCCTGCCCCGGCCAGGCAGGAGGAACCACTACCTGCTTCAGCACTTCCAGCCGACGATGCAGAAGTGAGGGTGAAGAAGGAAGCCCCTGCTCCCAAGCCACAACCAGTGGTTAAGGAGCATGTGCCCCAGCTTTCCTTCCCCACTCGCCTACACAAAGACAAGTTGGAGACTGAGTTTACCAAGTTTATGGCAATGTGGAAGCAGCTCAACATCAGCATGCCGTTCGTGGAGGCACTGTTGAAGATGCCCAAGTACGCCAAGTTCATGAAGGATATTCGCACGGGCTGGCCGAGGATTCTACACTGCCGTGTGGGGGGGGGGGCCTTTTTTCCCGTGTGGAATTTCTAGGATATCCACACGGCCAAATGTGATTTCCGCGCGGCCGTGTAGAATTTAGGCCTGGCCGTGTGGAATTCCAGATCCCCGGATTCTACTAGTTTTTGCGAAAAAGAGGCATCCGAACCTTTGACAGCACCTCTCGACTCAAAAATACAAAAATTAAAAAGAAAAAAGACAGGAAATGCAAACCGTGGTGGAGTTGCCTCCCCACAAGCGCTTCTTTACCGTCTTTTAGCTGGACGCAGTAGAGGAACTAAGGGTCTTCGAGGTTGATCAGCAGCTCTGCGCGCTCGACATCACCTCCCAAGTACAACTTTAAGAGGTGGCCGTTCACTTTGAACGGCCCAGTTTGAGCATTGTTGATCTCCACCGCACCGTGTGGGAATACTTGGGTAATCGTGAAGGGTCCCGACCAGGCGACCACCACGAACGCAGCTTGCCCGGAAAGAGTTTCAGGCCTGCATTAAAGAGCAAAACATGGTCACCTACCTGAAACTCAGATACAACGCATGGTTCAAGAGGCGTTGCCGGCTGCTCTCTCTTCATCCTTTACCACGAGTCCTGTGTTTGATAAGTCCTCGAGTTGGCTTTTAGACTGTGATGCATTTAACCATATGACCCCCGATCGTATAGTATTTAAAGCTTTGCATCATGTCTCTTCTATGAGCCTGAAAGTTACAAATGGTGAGCAAATATATGTTGGTGGGTCGGGCAGTGCTCAGATGGCCTCGATCACTCTTCCCGTCACGTTATATATTCCTAAGGTTGCACCCTAATCATATTATGGTGGGGCAATTAACAGATGTATTGTGCAGGAGCAGATGTCGGGGAAGGAGATTCGGAGAGGCAGTAAACATGGTCGGACATTTGTGCTTAATGACTTGTGTGGGCGGGACATGAAGGGTGCATGGGTGAATACCACTCCTACGTGGGCCAGTAGTTTGGGTGCCGCTTTGCCGGGTTCTCTTGCACGGATTGGGGATGGGATTTATGTCATATGAATTTTGGTAAGAGAGAACATTTTTTCTATATTCAGTTCGGATATGTATTTCTGTGGAAAATGTCATTTCGAAAGGCCATTTTCCTTGGATTTTGAGGCTACAGATCATGGAATTCGGCCTGAGGCTATTATTCAATAATGATTAAGTCCATTATGCACCAATTTGGGTGGATTTCTTCTGGTTCCATTTTTGGCGGACTCCAAAGGGGTACCATCACAAATTTCGAGCAATTTTCCCGAAATGCCATTTTTCGCATTCAATTCGGATATATATTTCTATTGGAAATTCATTATGGGATTTGTGGCACAACCGGCTTGGTCATCCTCAATTTGAGAGTTTAATGGTTATGTTTAAACAGAAGTTGTTACCTGATAAGTTGAATGTGTTGATGTTTGATGAGATATTTGATTGTGTGAGTTGTATAGAGGCTAAAGCCTCACATGCATCTTTCTCGTCGAGTGAAACAGTGTATAAAGAATCGTTTGATTTGATTCACACGGATCTTTGGGGGGCTTCTCCGGTTCTTTCTCGAATTGGGTATAGATATTTTGCTCTGTTTTATTGATCACACAACTCGGTTTACTTTGGATTATTTTCTGAAGCAGAAATCTGAGTGGACTTCTCTAGCCCAGAAGTTTATCACAATGATCAAGACACAGTTTGGTAAAACAATTAAGGTTATAAGGTCTGAGGGTATTATGCCGCAACAGTATGAGGGTATGAACTTCTTGGAGCTTACACGTGCCATTCTATTTCACTCTATTGTTCCCATTGGCTTCTGGGTGGTTGTTCAAACGGTGGTGTGTTTGATTAACCGTCAAATCGCTCCTTTTTTGGGGCAAAAATCTCCTTTTCAGCTATTATACTTGAAGTCTCTAGATTACTCCTTTCTCTGGGTCTTTGGGTGTATTTGCTTTGTGTTGCTACAATGGAAAGACCGTCACAAATTGGCTGCCAAGGTAGTTCGCTGTGTGTTTGTTGGCTATAGCGACAAGCACAAGGGGTACTTGTGTTATGATCCGGTTGGTCGACGTAAGCGTATTGCTGATCATCATGTCAATTTTATGGAGAAATAAATGTATTATATGGTTGGCCAAGCCGAATCAAGTACTGATCCATCTCTCGACTTCCTTACCTCTTTTCAAGTTTTTTAGCCGATTTTGCCCTCTCCTCCGCAGCACGTCGTGACCACTTCTCTTAGGTTCGATTTGGACAGTGCACCGTCCACACCAAAGGACTCTACGACCGCCAGTTCATCTAGTGAAAGCTCATCTAGCGGATCCATGTCTCCGGGTAGATCGTCTTCCTCCTCCAACTCGTCTTCGGGGAGATATTCTACAGGATCGTCGGCGGTTGGTGATGTTTATCCGACCATTCAAGATCTGGTCCCCTTGCGTCGATCTTCGAGGGCGACGTTAGGGAAGCCCCCGGCTCGCATGCAGGATTTTATTGGGTTTGCTGTTGAACACATAATTATTCCTACTCGCTACTCAGACTCCACAAAAGATCCCCGATCCAATGCTTCGATGAGAGTTGGAATGAATGCATTGGAAGAAAATGGAACATGGAAGCTTGTGCCACGACAAGATTGGATGTTAGTCATTGAAAGTAGGTGGTGTATATTGTGAAAATGAATCCAGATGGGACTATAGAACGGTTCAAATTGCGGGTAGTAGCCCAGGGGTTTAAGCAGGAGTAAGGCATCGAATATGACGAGACTTTTACTCCAGTAGTGAAAATGCAGACTGTTCATTTTGTGTTCGCAGTTGTGGCGATGCACGGTTGGTCTCTACTTCACGGGGGCTTGAAGGAGACGATATATATGGAACATCCACCTGGATATGAGAAAGGTGATTCGATGATGGTCTACAAGTTGATTCTATCCTTATATGGGTTGAAACAGGCGCCTCGTGCATGGTTTGATAAGTTTCATAGTACGATTAGCCCTGTTGGCTTTTCACAAAGTCAGAATGATCTCTCTTTGTTCACTCGCGAGACTGTTAATGGGATTGTGGTTTTGTTGATCTATGTTGATGATATTATTATCACTGGGTGAGATTGAGGATGTGACTCAGACCTTGTAGCAGGCGTTCAACTTGAAGAAAATGGGGGAGGTTTTATATTTTCTGGGTCTGGAGGGTAGACGGTCTTCTCATGGTCTGATTGTGAGTTGAAGATTCTTCTATAACTAAACTGGGATAGGGAAGAAGTGCTCGAAGATCAGTCGTTGTACCGTAGTCTAGTTGGAAGCTTGATTTATTTAACTCATACGCGACCTAATATTTTATATGCAGTTGAAGTTGTGAGTCAGTTTATGGGTATTGGGACTAACCTGCATTTGGCTGCAGTTCATCATCTCTTGATTATTTTTTCCTGCAACCGGCGAACATGTGGAGGACGCGTTTGTTGACGTGGATTATGCTGGCTATATGAATACTCGACGATTGTATTCGAGTTGGGTAGTCCTTTGTGTCTTGGCGATGTAGGAAGCAGGATCGAGTCTCGAAGTCATCAATAGAGGCGGAATATAGGTCTATGTCATAGGTGAGCTCAGAGATGGTATGGCTTCATTGGTTACTTGGAGAATTGGATGTTGCTTGTTGAGTCCCAATGAGGATATATGAGGATAACACTAGTGCAATTCAGATTGTAGCCAATCTGGCGTTGCACGATAGAACGAAGCACATTGAGGTGCATGTTCATTATATCAAACAACTAGTGGCTGAAGGAGTAATACAGATTGTCTATTTTTCTAGTGAAGATCAAACTGCAGATTTACTCACGAAGGCGGTTGCTTCGAGTAGACATTGGTACTTGTCTTCCAAATTGATGTTGCGAACCGCAAATCAATTAGAGAGAGGGTGTTGATTTATATTGTTTTAAGTACCATTATGTAAATAGTCATATTAGTTGTCCGGTAAGTAGGTTAGTACGTTAAACCCCATATATATAGCCGAATACGACTATTCTTCTATAACTAAATCATCTTGGTTTTAGGGAAACTCTTTTGGAGAGCACAACCTCTCCCGTAGATTAGTCCTGATATTCAGGGATAACACGTTAAAACTTGATGTTTGTTCAATCTTGATGTTTTTTCGTTCTTAGTTCGTACTATTTGACATATACAAGACACATTAAAGAGAACAGAAGAAACACATAAAAATCGCCATGAAATCATTGTTTATTTTAGGGGAAGTCAGATATTACACTCCAAAATGCACCCTTCTTTCTCCTAGCTTTGGTACTTAGCCTTGTAATCTCTCCAAAGACCATCCACGTCCTTCCCCAGCAAATCCCGAAAGTACGTCTCACTGTATCCAACCCTCATCTTCTTGTTCAACTTACCCTCGAACCCACGTTTCAAACCATCGCAATACCCAAGAAACCCGGCCGTAACCCCATACCCTTGATCCCATTTGTCCCCTTCACCTAACCGAATCGGTCCAGACGGTGACTCGTAACCAGCCTTCTTCCTTACGAAATCCGCAATCCCTTCAATCAATCCCGACGGTGCTTTCCCACCCCCGTTCCACTGCCACACGTGCGTCATCTCGTGATAAATCTCCGACGCAACTAGAACCCTCGGCGGTGCTGACGTGGCGGTCCCCAGATAACTGGCGCTGAGGTGGATGTCGTTGTCGCTGCTGTAGGCTATGCCATCTTCCATAAAGTCGAGGAAGAAGTCGATGTTGGTGACGTGTTTCCTCTGCGTGGCATCATTTTGCTGGCGGAACGTCTTCCATATGAACCGCGTGGCGCGTGACATGGCCTGCTTGGTGTATGGCGCGCCAACGCGGCTGTCAAAGATGGAGCCGCCCGCTGATCCCGATGCGTTGTTGGTTACCGTGTAGCGGACACCGTGAACGTAACCGTGGATGACATGGACCGTGGAGAGAGCGACAACCAAATGAATGAAACAGTTTGAAGGCATTGGGATTTGGGTGGTTAATTATCAGGCAATTGTTGTGCATGCTTTGCTAATAATGGGTTATTGACTAACTGGTGTATGTTTATATATATGACGATGGAGGTAGCGCATAGCTCCGTTTTTAATCCACGTCTGGGCAACTACTTTGGTGAAGACAAATGCTAAAGGATATCAGTAGTCAATCAAGTAATTAGCTAACAGGGAACCCAAATGCTAGAAATGGGAGGGGTCCTCCAAAATAAATAAACAAATAAATAAATAATAATCATTGATTGTATTGATACTAAGTTGATGAATCATTATCTGTACAGCCAAATGCTAAACGATTACCAGGTCAGTAAACTAGGTATTTATAGGTCGCATTTGATATAAGGTGGCTAAAATGTTTCGATATGTTATGTCCAATCGGAAACTTGCCCGTAGGGTGAAAATTCCAAACTGTGGAATTTGGAAGCTCTTTCATTAGTAAAGAATAGATGGGAACAATAATCAAGTGCTGCCAATATGGTACCGTTGTACAAAAGAGAGAAGCGCGTAGTGGCGTAGCCAGAATTAGAATTGACTGGGGTCCTTCAAATTTTTGAAACGTTTTAGTCTGTGTATTTAATGAACTTTGAGTTGATTGGTGTACTTAGATGAGATAACATCAACAAAAGTATGGGGTCCTAAATACAAATGATCATACTAAACCCTACATATCTAAAGAATTTTGTTGCCCAATTTTTTACCAAGTGGGGTCGGATCCCTTTCCTCTGCATGTGGCTCCGCCACTAGAGGGGAGACAAGTGTAGAGAGAGAAGGGCGGAAAAATTTGTTGAGCAATTTTTCGAGCTCCAGCAGCGGCTAGTCCTCGTAGTTGTTTCTTCTCTCTTTGCAGAGACTTTGTCTCCATTCTTCTTCAAGACCTTACTGTTTGGGATCGCCGCTGTTTCTTTATGACCTTACTGCTTGGGCAGAATTGTGCTTGATGGCTGGTGAGCGTTCTTGGGCATATATGTTTATGATCGGAGAGGAAAATAGACTCGTTTTGTTGAAATACCTAATTTACTTAGATTGGGTGGCTTATTGTAATTTTCTCAAGTCATTAACTAAGTATGATTACGGTTAGGAGAGATCCATGGCTCATATGTATGTGTATATATAAATCCTCCATGTATGTACGGCTAGAGTAAGGTGAATTAAGATTGATTTTGGAAAGTTCTAGCTCTACTAGTCCCGAATCTCATGGAAACCACGTAAATCTCGTATTTGTGTTTATGATTTCAGTTTTTATCATTGTATCATTAGCTTCCTATCTAAGATCTTTGCCATCTTTGTGTTTCAGCTGCTCATGTAGCGATCACGACTCATTAGGGTTCGTCCTCTCAGTTCGACTGCTTGCTAGCTAGATATCCTAGATTGATTCTTCTCTATGTTCGCTGCTCACTAGGTCTCTTAGCTTGATTCTTCTTCTGATCGTGGTGCTTACTACTTGGGTTCAACTTCTCCTTCGACACGTCTAATTCTCTTATTTGTTTGATCATCTGTTGCTGACACGCTTTTACCAGCACAACTAAACTACGACCAAGTATAATAGTAATCTAGGAATGCAGTATAGTGGTTCAGGTTCTAAATATCAACTCGGGACCTAGGTGTACTAGTTTATCCATGCAATTCCATTATCTAGCTGTGAATATCGAGTGAAATTGATTGTAAAATAAAGCAGAAAGAAAACAAGTAGATGTTCTGATTTTGAAATGCAAGAGAGGTCACTTAGGTATGTGTTCCCCTAGCTCATCAAATAGGTACAAGTTGTAATTTCCTTTAGTCGTGTTACTGATGATTATACAGCAGAAGATCCAAAACTATCTTGAAATCTTTGAGTTGACCAAGCCCTGTTAGACAACGTACCCGACAAGCAAGTAACCTCCACTGGAGCAAATTGCTAAGGCAGTACACAAAGATCTCCGGTACTGTAATAAATTTCAGTACAAAGCATGGAACTGACTGACTCTCGCACAATCAATTCCTTAGTATCGATTGAGGTGGCTCTCTTAACCTAATTAGATTATATCTATCTTAGGCCAAAGCACAAATCAAGGGAATGAAATCAAGATCCAGATCACTCAAATAATCATGCCTCAATTGATTGTAACCAATCAGTATAACACCCAAAGGTTCATACAACCATGGTTCCTAACACATGGAACTAGGGTTCTTCATACCCAAATGAGAATGAGATTTACTCCATAGAGGGAGGGGAAAACCAAATCGAAATAATCATACTCATATTGATCTATATAATATGATCTGGGATGTCGATTTGAATTCCAATGGGGGAAATCCATACTTCAATGGTGAAAATCCAGCTCAAATCAGCTGCAAGGTAAGGTTCTTCCTCACTTTCTATTTTATTTTGCTATCAAAAGTCGGATCCCTTGAAAAGAAACAAAAATTGAACTTTAATCCCGCATCTGTAGAGAACTTGGTTGTCTTCAGGATTGGACGCGACAGTTAAAAATCGACCTCATCAGTGGAAAACTCGGTCGATTTTTTTTCTTCACCTCGACCATGCTTTGTTCTTCATCAGCCGAAATTGGTCCTCGTCTGGACGAAATTAAGTGTTCGCAATATTTCATGGAAAGAACTTCCCTTTATGGGAGTTTCAATTCCGAGCCTTTGTGTAAGGGAAGAGACTTCTTCCCATTGTCATTGACAAGACAGAGAAACCCAAAAAGTCTGAAGGCAATGCGTTGGCTGTTGGCAAATTGGGAAGTTGAGAATACTCAAATGATCTATTGGCTTCTCGCGTTTGTTGATGTGCGTACAGTTCTAATCTTACATCTCTTTGAGTTGGCTGGCGATATGTTGAATCATTTGGTTACTACTAACAGTTAGGATAGTGCATATCGGAAGTTTGACTTGGAGTTGGAGCTCTCTCAAGTGTCCTAAGGTAACCGAGATATTTGTTCATGTTATCAGCCTGCAATCCATCTTTGGACGGAGTTGATCTCTTGGCCACCTCGTTATCAAATACTCCTGCCACAGCTCAAACTGTGGCTATGCAAACTCGTTCCAGTACAATGACTTTCTTGATTAAACTTCACCGTGAACTGCCTCGCTTCGTCTTCTTACCACTACGGGAACATCACAAGCTTGCTCCCAAAACTGTACGGTGCATTATCTTTGGCTATAGTGATTGGTACAAGAGTTATATGTGTTACGATCCGACGACTCCTCGTCTTCGTATTGCGTGTCATATTCTCTTTGTGGAAAACATGCCTTATTACTTCAACCAAGGGAGTGGACGATAGTGAGCTTGCTACACAGAGACCAATCCTGTATTGCATGATCGGACGAAGCACATTGAGGCACATGTCCACTACATCAGACAGCTTGAAACCAAGAGAGTATTACTCTTAGGTATTTGTCCATGGAAAGATCAGACTTCAGATTTGTTGACAAAAGTTGTTGGGTCTAGCAGGCATTGGTACTTGTCAAACAAATTGATGTTGAGTAAGGGTCATCAATTTGAGGGAGGATGTTGAAATACCTGATCTACTTAGTCTGTGTGGCTTATTGTAATTGTCCTTAAGATCTAAGCTAAGTAGGATTAGGGTTAGGAGAGACCCATGACCCATATTTATATATATCCTTCGTGTATGTATAGCTGGAGTAAGATGAATAAGATTGACTCTGGAGAGTTCTAGCTCTCCCGTGGACTAGTCTTAAATCTCAGGGTAACCACATAAATCTCGTGTTTGTGTTTATGATTTCAGTTTTTATCACGTCTACGTCAAACTATAGATTGTAGAGGAAGTGATTCGGATCTAAATGGAGATTAAAGATGAGGGGATAACTTGTTGGAAGCTCTGGTTAGTCGCCCAATTTCTTTCCTCATCGCTTCACATTCGTGGCTTAGAGACAGGATGGTGCTAACCAAATCCATCTATAGAGGTTATGCATTGTGTTCACAAGCGGTCTATTGCATGTCCATAACGACATGTGTTATCTCTAGAAGTGGGAGCTAGGAATTTGATCAAAAATTCCTACGCCGATGATCCATCTCTAAGTGAAATTTATTGATGTTATGCTCGAAAACGTTAGTAAGCGTATCCTGACTCGTTTTGCAAGTATGTTAGGTAAGCCCTTGTGGTTTGAAAAATCTAAAATCGGAGGAGACTAGGATACCCCAAAGCATGCGTAGAGACGAGTGTTGATTCGCAGTTCCATGAGTCCTTGAAGTTGATTCTAGATAGGCGTCATGCTTACTTTGTGCAGTTGGAATAATTTAATTAACTAGAGATTTGTGAAAATGTAAGTAATTTAGGCACTCTTGCAATAAGGCAGGTGATGAGGTTCAGGAAGAGGAGGTGCAAATAGTCGCTACTACTCTATTCACAGACTATGGCCTTACTACTAAGAAAGAACATGAAGTTGTAAGTATGCAGAAGGCTGAGGAAATCTAAGAAGAGAAAGGAGGAAGTATATATCATGCTACTGGGAAAAGAGAGAAGAAGTCTCCTTGCCCACAAATGAGGAATTTCGGGAGGCGGTAGCGACATGACTGACAATGGGAATTCCTTCATTTTTTAGAAACTTCGATCAATTTGAGATTGGAACCTTGGTTATCACCCCTTCAAAGAATCCATAAGAGTTCCCTACACTAAGTAAAAGCAATGTTTAGCAGAAGCAAGGTAAAATGTGGTTGGTTAGGCCCTCGAAAGTTAGAATATAATTTTGTAATGGTTCTCCCATAGAATATGAGGAGTTTGAATAGCCCTGACATGAGTTCTTATTAGAAGTGTTAGGCAAGTTTAAGGTGGATATATCGGCAATATAAGAAACATGGGTGAAAAAGGATAATCTAAAATGTATAATACAAAAAACAATTTGAATAATGAAATTATGTAGATGTATACTCCCTAACTTGAGGTGGAAGATTGTGAGTACTATGGAGGAAGAATTTAGATTTTACTAACTGTATAAAGATGAGCAGTATGTTCATGGTTAGGGTTAAGGGT